TGCTTGCACCGTATGTTCAAGGAGGTCTTGAGCTGTGAATGCCCAACCTGTACAACTGGGTCAGCCTTGCAGAGTATTTCGTTGCTGCTGTGTTACCATCTAGCCCCATGAATGTTATTTGATTAAGTTCATTTTTTTCAACTTGTAATTTCATTATTAGTGCTTTTTCTGTCTTGTCAAAGGATCAAGGTGTTCTCAAGACCTTGAGATACTCTATGTTTTCTTGCACTTGAATATCTATTCCAGGAATACTTGTTTAAAAGATTTTCTTTTTCTTCACTGTATTCCAGTGGTACCTCTATTAAATGAAGTATAAGTGAATATATTTTTGGACTCTATTATGTTTGATCGATCTATTTGTCTTTATGCCAATATGCCATTCTTTGTTACTGTAACAAAGTCTTAAATCAGGTACAAATTGGTTCTTTATCTGAATGTTTGGGACTAGAAGTGTTTTAGATTTTGAATTTTTCAAATTTTAGAATATTTGTATATACATAAAGAGATATTTTGGGTGTGACCCAAGTCTAAACACAGAATTCATTTATGTTTTACTTCATACACATAGCCTGAAGGTAATCTTATACAGTACAACATTTTTGTATCTCAGCATTTTATTGCAACTTATCACATAAGGTCTGATGTGGAATTTTCCACTTTTGACATCATGTTGACACTCAAAAAGTTTCATATTTTAGAGCCTGCTCTGTAGTGCAGTGGTGATGTGCTGCTCACGCAATGCTGGGTCCATATAGAAGATCATGATTTGGTTTTCCTGGTTGGCCTGTACATTAAAGGCATGGGCTCCCTGGCTGGGAATGCTTGGGGTTATAGCAGAGTGAGACCCTATTGAGGGTGCTTGTCTTTCTGTTGCTCACTCTTGTCCCAGTTTCTTGTTTTCATGGGGGAAAAAAAAAACTTTTTTTTTTTTGGAGAGGTGTTTGCTATAGGGCACGTGCGCTCTCCAGAAAGACAGAGACAGAGAGAAAGCGAGAAATCACCCTCCAGGGGGAATGGCCACGCTGCAGTCCCTTCTCCTCCATTCTCCTCTCAGGATCCTGGGCACGCATACACTTGTGCCCGGTGTGAGTTTAAGCCACTGGGTCCAGGACTCGAACCACGGTCGACTATATAGGAGTCCAACAACATAGCCATTATGCCAACTACAGGTCCCCCCCCAGAAATCTTAAAAAATATGTTGCAAGTTTTGGAGCATTTTGGATTTCAGACATTTAGATTAGGGATGCTCAACCTGTAGTACTCTTGTTCAAAATTATTTTAGCTAGTCTAGGTCCTTTGGATTTCAGTATTAGTTTAGAAACAACTTGTCAATTTCTACAAAATGCCTGCTGGGATTTTGATTAGGATCATGTTGAATTTATAGATAAATTTGGGGAGAATTGACATCTTAACAGCGTTGCATCTTTCAGTCCATGTACTTGATGGATGTGTGTTAGGTCTTTAATATGTCTCTGTAGTATATTGGAGTGTTTTAGGTAGAATTCTTTCTTAAGTTTATTCCTAGACACTTGACTTTCATTTTAAAAAAATAATTACTTATTTTTTATTATTTTCAATTTGACCAGAGTGAGAAGGAAAGTGAGAAAGCAAACTGCCAGGTATGGGACTTGCACCATGGTTGGCCATGTGGGAGTCCAGTGTCTCACCCACCATGCCACCTGCTGGCCCCAACTTTCTTTTGATGTTAGTAAGAATGGTATTTTTTTATTTCATTTTAAAGTATTTGTTGCTAGTATATAAAAATATAGATGATTTTTTTATATTAGCTTTGCATTTCACAACTTTGTAAACTCATCAGTTTTTATAGGGTATAGATTCGTTGTGGTATTCTGTATATATTATATAATCAGTGAATATAGACTGTTCTTTTGTTTTTCTTTTTTAGAGGGTTTTTTTTTTGTTTGTTTGTTTTGTTTTTTTTTTGCTATAGGGTGTATGTGCTCTCCATAGAGATAGAAAATGAGACATCAGCCCCCCATGGGGGATGGCCATACCACAACTCTTTCTACTCCATCATCCTCTCAAGACCTTGGGCATGCACACACATACCTGGCATGAGTTTTAAGCCTCCAGGTCTGGGACTCGAACTGCTGTCGGCCATGTGGGAGTCCAACAACATAACTATTACGCCATCTGCTGGTCCCTATTTCTTTCTAATCTATATGTTTTTCTTTTTTGATAAACTACTAGATTAATTTTGATAACTATAGAGTTGTCACTTCTGGCTCTCATAGTAAATATACTAGAATTTGGTGTCCTGTGACTTTATCATAATAGAATTGAAGGAGGAATGTTTGTCATTTTTCAATTGAGTTAAATTATCTTGAAAAGTCTATTTTGTAGACATAAGATGAGTGCCTTTTCTTTATTGAAAAAAGGTTGACAGTAGCCCCCGGAATCAAGGATTAAAGTCAGACAATGTCTATGTTTACTTAAAAAGAATATTTCAGTTTTACTGTAAACTTTAAAAACAGATTTAATCTCTCATTTTCTGGACTTTTCCATCTTTCACAGTTTTAGCCTTAGCTTTGTATTGGATGTTCCTCCTAGCCAACAATGCTCTTATGTATATTATATTATTTTATTACAGCTTGAAACTTTTGGTGTGGGTGACAGATGACTTAATTTAACACAAGTTACTTTTATATTAAAGAGAGTTCAAATATAAAAGTTGTGAGTTTTGATACGTATTATACAATGGTGATTCTCTAATAAAAAGGTTGATATTCGATAAATTAGATAATATTCCCTTAGACATTTAAAATATGATTTATTTATTTATTCATTTATTTTAATTTGACTAGAGAGAGGCACACAGAGTGAGAGAGGGAAAGGAAAAGCAAGCCACCAGGTCTGGGAACCATTTTCAGCCATGTGGAAGTGTCCAGCATGTTAACCACCACATCACCTGCTGGCCTAATATGATTCAACTTAATTCACAATTGTAAACACTTAGCTGTTATATTAGAGACAGCTATGAAAACATTTCAAAAATACTAACTCACAGAATCATTGCTTATACATTTTTCAATTAGTTTGGGATTATCTGTGCTTGGCAAGCTGATTGTTTAGTATTTCCTACCTCATAGTGGTGCTATACCATAATGACTATTTACCTCTTCTGTGGAAAGAACACCTATGGGAGATTAAATGCCTAATGGAAAAAAAAATTTTTTTATGGTTATATTGTATAAGTAAGGGGTTCTTTGGAACTTTTAATTAAAAGATGTTTTTCACTCAAGAAGTTGATCCTCAAATGAAAAGATTTGAATGCCAAAGTTTAGTAAATAATCCTACAGAAACCTGTTAAGCAAGTAAGTGCCACGTGTCATGTCACTTAAATTGATTCTACAAACTGCTTTTTTTTGGTTTTTGCTATAGGATGTATGCACTTGCTGGAGAGATTAAAAGAGAGAGAGAGAGACAGAGGGAAAGTGAGAAATCACCCTTGGGGGGAAAGGTGACTATCCCATAATCTCTTCCCCATTCTCCTCTCTGCCTTTTGGGCATGTACACACACATGTCTGGTGTGGTTTTCAAGCTGGGTCCAGAACTCAGACTGCAGTCAGCCATGTGGGAATCCAGTGCCTTAACCACCATGCCTGCCACCTGCTGGTTCCCAGACTGCTTTTTTTTTTTAATACCATTTTTATTTAACTTTACTTATTTACTTATTTTAATTTGTCCATAGAGACAGAGTGAGAGAGAGAAAGAGAGGGAAAGTGAGAAAACAAGCCGCCAAGTTCTGGACTTTAACCATGATCAGCCATGTTGAAGTTCAGCGCCCTTAATCACCACCCCACCTGCTGGTCCCCCAAACTGCTTCTTTATGAAATAATTTCAACGAAAGCATCGGATAATGCTATGTGCTATCATATATAGTGATGTTACCAGATTTGAGATTTTTATACTAAGTGAAAGAACTTACTATAGTCAGGTATTTTTTCCTGATTTAAAAAATTTATAAAATATAATCATATTTGATTAAAAGGAACTAGTCATGATTCTGCTATATGTAGGTGGATATTTGCATGTGAAGAGGCATTACTGTGTATTGATGGTTTTATATGGAGACATGTTGCAGAGAATTATAATTTTTTTTTTAAGAGAGATTTTTGCTATAGGATGCTTGTGCTTGCTGGAGACAGAGACAGAAAGCGAGAAATCCCCCCACCAGGGTCAATGGCCATGCTACAGTCCCTTCTCCTCCATTCTCCACTTGGGATCTTGGGCACTTACCCAGTGTGAGGTTTAAGCCTCTAGGTGCTGGACTCAGACTGCAGTTGACTACTTGGGAACCCAGCAACATAACCATTACTCCATCTGCTGGTCCCAGGTAATTATAATTTTTGTAAGTCAGTTGATAGTTAATATTATAGGGGAACTTTCTACATTTTTAAAAAGTTTGTTTATTTCTTCAAAGAGAGAGAAAGAAAGAAAATCCAGCAGGATTTGAATGCCTTAATTTGTCCTCTTACTTCAACCAGCACTGGATGATTCTTAGGGGCTTGCTGGGGGTACTCACAAAGGTTTTTGACTTTGAACTAGGAACCTTTCTGTGTGGGATTGCCTCACAGAGAATTACATTCTATTGCTGTACCACTGTCTAGCCCCGAGGAATTTTTCATTCTTTTCTCTTTTTTTAAAACACATTATTATTCATTCATTCATTCATTTGATATGATTTTCAATGATTTTCAAGTCACCAGGTCTGGGTCTCAAACCAGGGTCAGCTATGTGGGGACCAAGCACCCTAACCACCATACCACCTGCTGGCCTTTTTAAAGGAGCACTGTGATGAATAATTTATAAAGTAATATCCTGTTGGTTTTACTTCTTACATTTTTTTTTGTTGTTGTTATGTGGAGGATAGTTATATGATGAAAGTTTTAGAGAAAAGGTGAAAAAAGCCCTATGATTAATAAAGTGGTAAATAATATTTTAAGGTGGATGTTTTTCCATTTTATTGTTACATGCAGGGCATATTTACTTCTGGCACATGGGAAGAGAAATCAGATGAAATTTTCTTTGCTGACTTCAAGTTCACAATCACTCATCATTATCTTGTACAAGAGTCCACTGATAAAGAAGGAAGGGATGAATTATTAGAAGGTAAGTTTTTATTACTTTTTTTTTTTCTTTTTGTAATTTGTTATAGGGCATGTGAACTCATTGCAGAGAGACAGGATGGGAGAGTCAGGAGTCAGAAAGCATCCCTGAGAGGATGCCACACCACAGTCCCTTCTCCTCTTGGGATTTGGGCACACATGTGTATGTGCCTGGCATGTTTTCCAAACTGCTGAATCTGGGAGTTGAACCATGCTACTGCCCATGTGGGCTCCAGCTATCTTAATCATGACGCTACTGACCGGCCTGATTAGTATGTATTTTTAACTTGTGACTTTTAAGCATGGTTGTAATTTTGAATTATGAATTGAGAGTTTTTAATTCAGTACTATCTTTTGGAAATATTTTACATATGCAAAGTTCTTTTACCACATTTGAAGAAAAATATGAAGTAGTACTGTATCTGAAGCAGAGGATGAATTACAGTGCCATTAGTTTTCAAATGAATTAAAACAGCACATATTTATTGAGTACCTAACGTGCTAGGTACTCTGCTAAGTCCTACTCTGCTGAACTCAAACTTAAGTGAAACTTACATTTCAATAAGGAGTAAAGATTGATAAATAACAGTAATAGCAGCATTCCCAAGTACAGATAAAGTTCTCTTAGAATTTGGAGTAGTAAAGATCACTTTAAATTAGGAAGGGTCAGAGAAGGTGTTATTGGAGAATTAAGCAAGTAAGATGGGCTTAAAAGGATTATAAGTAAAGGAAAATTTGTCTATAGACAGTGTAATATTGTTAGATATATTCCAAATTTTAGGATCAGACCAAGTTGGTAAAAATTCTATTTTTTCTTCTTGCTAGTTAGTTGATCTTTTAAAGCTTGAGTTATGTCATTTAAAATGAAATAATACTACCTTTAGGGTTAATGTGCAATATAATGGGATAATGTATATAAGCAACTACCTTGGTACTTGATCCATGGTAGGTACTCGGTTAAGGAATCTTGTAATTGTTAACAGGTTGTCTTTCGAAATTTTTTGTCTTGAGATATACTCATATATAAGTGGTAAATGACCAAGATACTGAATAAACATGAATTTCAGAGCCATCAAACACCTTTCTTTTCTTTTTTCTTTTTTTGGAGAGGTTTTTGCTATAGGGTGCGTGCGCTCGCCAGACAGAGAGAGAAAGCGAGAAATCACCCCCCAGGGGGGATGGCCACGCTGCAATCCCTTCGGGCTCCATTCTCCTCCACTCTCTTCTCGGGATCTTGGGCACGCACGCACACGTGCCCGGCGTGAGTTTAAGCCACTGGGTCCGGGACTCGAACCGCGGTCGACTACATGGGAGTCCAGTGACATAGCCATTACGCCAACTGCTGGCCCCTCAAACACCTTTCTTAATTCACTCAGCAAATAGGGAGAATGTGTGTTAAAGTTTTCTAGCTAAAGCAGATTATCATTTGTAAGTGAAGGCATGATATATCTGTGCCATATTCCCTTTTCTATTATATATATTTTACTTATAGAACAATTAGTAAACATCTGCATTAGAATTAATTAACTGGGACAGATACTGTTGACTGTATATACACATATGTAAGATAACGTTACAGCAAAATAAAATATTAAACCAGAATATGAAAATGTGTATTTTAGAAGGGGAAAAGGAAAATGTGTGCAGTTAGTGGGAGGTATGATAATAGCCTGGAGACTTCCAGGGCCAATAAATTGAAATAAATTGTTCAAGATAGAGAAATGTTGAATGCTATTAATTTGAGGAAAAGCTATTATATATAAGAGACTAAGGATCAGTATTTCTGAGATGAACACTTGGAGGGTATGATGGTAAAAGAAAATGAATGAATTTAAGATAGGGCATTGCTGCATGTATGTTTATGCTGTGCAGTTTATTCTAATTTGTTGTAATTTATTTTAAATTAAAAAAAAATTTAAATTCATTTATTTTAGTTTTTCCAGAGAGAGACACATAGAGAGAGAGAAAGCAAGAAAGCAAGCCACCAGGTCCAAGACTTAAACCATGGTTAGCCATGTGGGGGTATCCAGCACTTTAACCACCACACCACCTGCTGGTCCCCTAATTTGGTTGTGATTGAAGCTGTAACTAATTGTGGAAGTTACAAGCAAACCATCAGCTCGGTTAGTTTAGAGATGTACATTTATTTTTTAAAACTTTCAAATTATTGGGACCAGCAGTTAGCGTAATGGCTATGTCACTGAACTCCCATGTAGTCGACCGCAGTTCAGGTCCCAGACCCAGTGGCTTAAACTCACTCCAGGCACGTGTGTGTGCGTGCCCAAGATCCCGAGAGGAGAATGGAGGAGAAGGGATTGTGGCGTGGCCATCCCCCGGTGGGGGGGTGACTTCTCACTTTCTATCTCTCTCTGTCTTTCTGGTGAGCGCACGCGCCCTATAGCAAAATCCTCTCAAAAAAAACCCAAAAACTTTCAAATTATTTAATTTTATTTATCATCATTATTATTATTTTTTAAAATTTGCTATAGGGCATGTGTGCTCACCAGAGAGAGATGGGGTTAGGGTGAGGTGAGAAATCAAGCCACCAGGTCCGGATCTCTAACTGTAGTCAGCCATGTAGGAGTCCAGTGCCTTAACCACCATGCCACCTGCTGACCCCTAGAGATGTATATTTAAAACTATATTATCAAAGGTCAGAAGATTTGAACACTGATCTTTTACTTTGTTGGAATTGCTTATTGCTTTTGGTTATATAAAATATCAAGTCATTAGTGTTCTACTGTTTATTCTTTTAGCAAATTAGCAAAATATAAATTTACTAAGCAATTATAGCTATACAACAAAAGGGAATATTTTTATGAACACATGCTTTTAATTATATACTTACAAGTGTAATGAGCATTGATGTCATTGTCTTATGGATCACAATTCAAGTGTTAAAAATAATGTGGGCTAATTTTTAACTATTTAAAATTATTTTATTTATTATTATTATCATCTTTTTTTCCCCTTTTTTTAAAGAAAGATTTTTGCTATAGGGCACATGTGCTTGCTAGAGACAGAGACAGAAAAACAGAAAGCAAGAAGTCATCCACCAGGGGGATGTCCACACCACAATCACGTCTCCTCTATTCTCCTTTCGAGACCTTGGGTACACATGCACACACTCCCAGTGTGTTTCAAACCTCTGGGTCTGGGATTCAAATCGCAGTCAACTACATGGGAGTCCAGGAACATAACCATTATGCCATCTGCTGGTCCTTATTATCATGATTTTTAAGTGTGTTATAGGGCATATATGCTCACCAAAGAGAGAGAATGAGAGAAAGTGAGAAAGCAAGCCACCAGGTTTGGGACTTGAACTGCAGTTAGCCATATAGGAGTCCAGTACCACGACACCACCTGTTGGCCCCAAGATAATGTGAGTTTTAAAAAAAATACATTAATTAGAAGTAGGAAGGTGGGTAGAAATTTTACCAGAATGTTTAAGAATTTACGGTGGATAGGAGGTCAGAAAAGTCTACCTCTGAAAGATGATATGGAAGTGATAGACTTTGGGTAGAATTTTGAAGAAAGGTAAAGACAAAGAGTAGACCAAGAAGAACAAATAAAATAAAACTCTCTAATAAAGGAGAGGAATTTTTTGAGCCATAACTTAGAAGCAAAAAGGTATATATTATAAAACATAGGAATACTATGTCTTTTTTTTTTTTACTTTTTAGGCTGGCTTTATTAGCAGGAAAGAGAAAGATCTCCCTTTTCCCAAATCTTAGAGCTAACTTCAGATATAAATCTTAATGTAGTAGCAAAACTACATGGGCTAATACATGTTTCCTCAAAGCATGTTATAATCCCCTGCCTAATAATGAAACATAGTAACTTTTTCATTATCAAATATTTTTGTAGATGTCATTCCACAATCTATGCAAGATTTGCTGTGCATGAATAATGACTTTCCTCCAAGAGCCCATTGCTTGGTAAGATGGTATGTATACATTTTATTCAGTATCTCCTAGCATGTGTGTTGGGGAAGCCTCACTGCATGCATGTTCAGTGATTTGCTTCGAGGACTGTAGGACTCAGCATAAAGTTGTATTTATAGCTGATTTATTATATGACAGGATGCCAAGCAAAATAAGCAAAGGGAAGAGGCACAAGAGGCAAAGCCCAGAGGAAGTACATACTTTCAGTTCTTTCCTAATGGAGTTACACAGGATGTTACTAGCTTACCTCAGCAATAAGTTGTGACCACAAAATTGAAACATTGTCTATTAGGGAAGCTTGGCAGAGGCTCAGCCTCCAAGTGGGTTTTTTTTCTTTTCTTTGGTTTTTGCTGTAGGGCTTGTAGGGCTCGTAAGCTCTGATGCTTGCTCTTATGCTCAGTAGAAAGAGACAGAGAGAGAGGCAAAGTGAGAAGTCACTCGCCCCCACACACACACCCCAGGGGATAGCCACACCTAACTTCCTTCATCTCCATTCTCCTTTCAGGATTTTTGGGCACATCTGCACATGCTCTTGGTGTATTCTTCAAGCCAGAGGGTCTGGGACTCAAACCTTGAAGTCAGCCATGTGGCTTTGTCGTTGAACTTCCATGTAGTCAACTGCGGTTTGAGTCCAGGACCTGGTGGCTTAAAGTCATGCTGGACACGTGTGTGCCCAAGATCCCGAGAGGAGAACGGAGGAGAAGAGATTGCGGGGTGGCCAGCGCCCCGGGGGGGTGATTTCTCTTGCATTGTTTCTCTCTGTCTCTCTCTGTCTTTCTGGCATGCGCACGTGCCCTATAGCAAAAGCTTGTAGCAGGCGGTGTGGTGGTTAAGGCGCTGAACACTCCCACATGGACAACCATAGTTTGAGTCTCAGACTTGGTGGCTTGATTTCTCACTTTCCTTCTCTCTGTCTGTCTCTCTGGTCAAATGAAAATAAATGAATAAATAAAATTAAATAAATAAATCGTTTTTTAAAAAGTGCATTGTATTGGAACGAGCAGTTAGTTAGCATAATGGCTATGTTGCTGGACTCCCACATAGCCGCCCGCGGTTCATGTCCCGCACCCAGTGGCTTAAAACTCATGCCGGGCACGTGTGCGTGCGTGCCCAAGATCCCGAGAGGAGAATGGAGGAGAAGGGATTGCGGTGTGACCATCCCCCCTGGGGGTGATTTCTCGCTTTCTGTCTCTATGTCTCTCTCTGTCTGTCTGGCGAGTGCATGTGCCCTTTAGCGAAAAACCTCTCAAAAGAAAAAAAAAGTGCATTGTAGGATTTGCAGAAGGGATCACAGCATAACCATGTTCCTTTCAGGGGTCTTTTCTCTCTCTCTCTCTCTCTCTCTCTCTGTTTCTCCATCTGGTAAGCACACATGACCTCTGACTAAAATAAAATAGAGCAATAACTGACAGGTCTTTTTAAAAAAGGGAGTATATTGCATTTAAAAGATCTCCTTTATCTTTTTCAATTATTCAGTATCTCTGAACTTTATTTTCTAAAATGGTCCTAGTATGAGTATATGATTAAGAAAGAAGACCTAGTTAAAAGAAGTCTATATACTGGTTTTAAATTATTTTATTAAAGAAAAATTTCTAAGAGATATATATTTCTTTTTAAAAAAGTATTTATTTAACTTGGGACCAGCAGTTGGCCTAATGGTTATGTTGCTGGACTCCCATGTAGTCGACTGCAGTTCGAGTCCTGGACCCGGTGGCTTAAACTCACGCCAGGCATGGGACCAGCAGTTAATGTAATGGCTATGTCGTTGGACTCCCACGTAGTCGAGTTTGGACCCGGTGGCTTAAACTCACGCCGGGCATGTGTGCGTGCGTGCCCAAGATCCCGAGAGGAGAATGGAGGAGAAGGGATTGCGGCGTGACCATCCCCCCTGGGGGGGTGATTTCTCGCTTTCTATCTCTCTCTCTCTGTCTGGCGAGCGCACGTGCCCTATAGCAAAAACCTCTCAAAAAAAAAAAAACCCTCATGCCAGGCATGTTTGCGTGCGTTCCCAAGATCCTGAGAGGAAAATGGAGGAGAAAGGATTGTGGCATGGCCATCCCCGCTGGAGGGGGTGTGATTTCTCACTCTGTCTCTCTCTGGTAAGTGCACACGCCCTGTAGCAAAAACCTCTCAAAAAACTATTTATTTATCTTATTATTGTTGTTATTATTTTAAATTTTGCTACAAGGCATGTGTGTTCACTAGAGAAAGACACACAGAGAGTGAGACCGAGAGTGAGAAAGAGAGAGAGAAGGAAAGTGAGAAAGGAAATTACCAGGTCTGGACTCCAGTTGTGATTGGCCATGTGGGAGTCTAGTACCTTTATCACTATGCCACTTACTGGCCCCATGATTATATTTCTATTCATTTTTTCTTAATTTTATTGTGATTACTATAGCAAATAGACTACACTGCATAATAAAAGACGGAATAAAATTATTTGCAAGTGTAGGTATATGTGGTAGTATTTCTTAAGTATTTCTGGTTAGTATAAATTTTTTTCTAAAACTGACCTTAAATAACCAAAAGTGGAATTTAATAGATACATTTATTAAATTAAATGTAATCCCTCCAGTTTCCCTTCTGATCTTTTAAAATATGAATACATTAACATTACCAAATGTATCAGAAGGCAACGTGGTGTAACAGAGCATGGGTTGTGCATACATTCAATCACACATTAACCGAACCCCCCTACTAGTAGGTTAGGTGCTAAAGTTAGCTCAGGTCCTTACTGTCTCTGCAACTTTAAGCAAGTTAATGTATATGTTTCTACACTGGTAAAGTCAAAATAATAAATAAAATGTACTTTTAGTGTCATCGTGAGGATTATATAAAATAATGGCACTTAGGTTTATCAAAATCAAAATGTTATTACATAAAATTTCTGTCCAGCTTTTATTATATATATATAATTATATATATTGCATATATATACATATAAACTGTGTTTGATTTATAATCCGTGGTTAAAGATATTTGTTGAATGAATGAGTAAATGAACTTTTTTTTTTTTTTTTTGAGAGATTTTCGCTATAGGGTGCATGCGCTTGCCAGACAGACAGAGACATAGAGACAGAAAGCGAGAAATCACCTCCCAGGGGGGATGGTCACACCGCAATCCCTTCTCCTCCATTCTCCTCTCGGGATCTTGGGCACGCACACACACGTGCCTGGCGTGAGTTTTAAGCCACCAGGTCCGGGACATGAACCACAGTCAACTACGTGGGAGTCCAGTGACATAGCCATTACGCTAACTGCTGGTTCCCAGTAAATGAAACTTTTTGTTGTGTGTTAATGTAAATACATATATATATATATATTCCATTTGTTATTCTTTTT